ATCCCTTTTTTTTGTGAAATCAACCTTTTTTTTTTTTTTTTTAAAGAAAGCTAGGAAAAATACCAATCCTATCCATTAGAAAAACTGTCTTTTCAGAAGAAAAAAAAAAAAAGTCCAAATGGGTTATTTAGAAGTTCAGAACATGTATCTGTAAGTCAGTTCAAGGGCTGTTTAAAGAGGCTGAGAATGTGTCTCAGATCATTATTTCAACCGCAGCATCAGCCTAAATGCTTGGTCAATAAGTACTGCATCACAGTTTTAATTAAGCAGGTATGATCTCTCAGTGACCCCTAGAAATGCTAATTAGTCACATTTAATTAAATTAATGTATTACTAAAAATCATATTTGCGTTTCTTTTAAAAGTATCTTTGTACAGAACATAAGTGCACATGTAAAAATCTAAAGCCTGTTCATTTTTGTTTGGAATTAATATCAGTTTGTGTGCTTTTTGCTTCAATAACCACATTGTTTGATGTAAGACCAAGGTGTGCTTCAAATCTTGCTTGATACATGAGTCATACTTCAAGACACTGAAGTTATCAACTGATTTACATTGCTAAATATTTTGGGGGTTGGCTAAAGTTCAGTAACAGAGGCAGGAGAAACATACTGTGTGAAAGATCTGGGGAAAGAGCAATGTGCTTGAATTGAAAAAAACTGCCTAAAGGTATATCTACAGATTCAGGACGGTTTGAGAGTAATATAGTTAAAAGAAAATTTAGTACTAAGATTTCCTATGCGACATTTGTTTGATGCATCATATGTGTACTTGCAGGCACACACAAGAGAAAGGTTGGGAGTGTTTTGTTCTTGTATACTATGTCTGTTTTGTAAAATACCTTTAGCTATTTTCCTGACACATTTACTGTTCCTCTTTGACATTGTGGTTTCTAGAGTTGGGCAGGAGGTGGAATTATCTCAAGACTCAAATCATACACCTTTCCAAAGGCTGGCAGCAAAAAGGTGCCTCATACAGTCTTCTTAGGTTTTTGGCTGAGTTGAAAGGACTTACACTTGACTAATTTCGCTCTTTGTTTTCCCCCCCTTTGGCTTGCTGTTACTAAATGTGTGTCTTGGCTATTAACAATCAGATTGTGAAGATTTTGTAAGCTTTCTGCTTCTTTCCTAATTGTCTGCATAATTATGGCCTTGATTTTATAAATAAAGCAATGGTTCTAAAGAAGTTTTAAAAATTGAGGGAGTATATTTAAGTAATTTCTCACATCCCAAAATATTAGTGCAGATCTCAACAAGTCTGCAAATAAAATGTGATAAAATGTTGTTTTTAAAAAGTCACTTATAGCAGAACAAAATGATATTTCTACTCTGAAATATCATTCCTAGTCAGAAAATTGGCTTGTTTACACACTGCTATTACTGAACACATTTAGGGAACAATTTGTTAAGAACAACCACAAAATGTATTCTTACAGAACCTGTGTGCACAAATCTTGTTATGCATTGACGTTAATTACATTTAGGCAAGTGTAAGATGTCACAAGACCAAGCAGTATGGGAAAGGTGATAAGATGTTAGGGAGTCAAGGGGAACTCAGCCCTGTACTAATGAAAATGCTGCTGCATGGCTAGAAAATTACGCTGTTTAGTAACTGATATAGTTGTGAAGCATGTAGTTATGAGCTTTGTTTGCATGCTGAGAATAACATGTGTGTCCCTGTTCCACCCATGAGTCTCTCTTTTTGTTTATTTATTTATTTCCAGCTGCTCTTCAACAAAAATGAGCAGGCATAAAAAGCCCTAGAGGTACGCTGCTGTTCAGAGTGAAAAACTGTTTGACATGTAGTGTATTTAATAGTCCTGGTAAATAACAATTATTCTTTTTTTATAATTTCAGTTCACTTTTATACTGAAGTACCAATAGCTGTTGTGATCTGTATACCCTTACAGGACCCACATCTCATTTTTAATGTACAAACACATGTACAGTGTCAGGACATGTTCTAAAGCCATCTGAAAAAGATTTCCATATTATCACACATTAGACAAGAGATTTATTTTGGTTTTGTTCAGAAAAGTAAGTGTGGAATCTGAATTCTTTAGACATAGCTTGGTCACTCACTCTGCTGTCTGTTCACCTAGGAAAACCTGTGCTGCTGTCTGGTTGCTTTCTGCAGTCAAATACCTATTTCCTGCCTTCTGGGAAACATATGCAAAGTACAGGCTGAAGAATATTGGCAGAGAAAGACCAATCATTTAAGAAAATAATTTCAGAAATTTGATTTGATCACCATTTATGTATACTTAACCCTAAATACTCAAACGCACAAATTTCATTGTCTTGCCAAATTTTAGACTCTAAACAAAAATTCTGCTCTGAACATCTCCAAGATTTACCATCCATTAACCTCAACATACAGAGTTTATTTTAGACCTGGGTAATTAGGCAGTTACTTCTCTTATGTCAAAAACTTTCAGACAGTAAAACGGAAAATTTATGCTGTTATATTTATTCAGTCTTGGAAATTATGGATTTTTTTAAAATTTCACAAACAGGTTATTTTGAAATAATTTTAGCACTCAGATCAAAAATTTTCAAGCTGTTCTACTGACTAATGTAAATTGGCAATTTAGATGACAGTTTAAACGAACTCCTGCCACCTAGTGGCGACTAAGATGTCATAGCCAAAAGTCATTGAGGATTTGACTAATAAGGTCTTTGTTATGCAGTATTTTGCTATTCAGTTTGGTTTAGCAAAATAAGATGATTTTATAGTCTTACATATACGTTTGTGGTTTTGCAAATCAGAATTATTAACCTGAAAACAAATTGCACTTGCTGTACAGATTGCCTCCATAATTTTATAGTAAAGAATATACTTATCATCTTTACTGATTTTTATAAATAAGACTTAGAGTAGTTAGAGCCATTTCATTCATATTTTAAAGCAAACAGTAAGCGGGTCTTGTTCTCATTGCATCAACTAGATGCTATCAAACATGCTTAGAGGTTATCCTATTAAGGCCTTATCCATGCACAGAAAGAGGTATTGCTTTTACTAGAAAGATCTTTTGAGTCAATGCAAACTCTCTGCTTCCTGCTTTCCTCTCATTGTGGATGAAGCTATATTACTATAAAAGTGCCACACTAGTATAGCCAGTCCCTAGTAAGGGGAATAATGGCACATTTAGATGAGCTTAACTATGGGTACCTGAAAAGTTTAACCAATGAAAATTAAACCCTAGCAGAAGAAAAAAAATACGTTGATGGGAAAACATCAACAGGCTCACAACAGCTTTCTGGTATAAGAGCATAAAATGACAGTCTGCCCCATAGTTTACAAGTGTACGTACCACAAGGTGTCACATAGTATATGCCATTTGTAACAGGCTCCTCTAGTGGACTTTTTCTTGTATTCCTTTTTACTGGATGACCAAATTCACAGTCATTTTGCCCATTATCTGCTTCTTGTAAGAATACAAGGAGTAATCTCCTACCCTATACCTTGGTTGTATTAAGATAAAGCTCCCTTTGTCAGAAAAAGATCTGCAGAATTAAACTTGCTGTTTTTAAAGTGTAGGGCAAAAAGGACTCTGGATTTAAATGACATTTAAATAAAAAGGAAATTTTATTGTACTATTACCCAGGCCACTGTACATGCAATGGTACATACCCTGTGCACCATTTCTAGTCTGCCTCACTTGACTTAAAGAGAAAAATTCCAACGTTTCTGCTAGAAAATCCTATTGAAAGGCATGCAGGGTGCTACATGCCATGAATAAATAACTGGCAGAACTGAAGAAAAACGTTTGAGGTTTTCTGAGTGCTTCACAATATTCCCAAGTTACTAATATGAGCTGAAAAGGTGCCTGTGAAACATCAAATTGCAGTTCAACCAGAAATATTCATGAAAAGCCATTGTTAAGCTGTTTAATCAAACTTCAACAATGGGGAATATCATTCCACACATACATATATATTAGTTAACTAAGCTAACACTAATGACATGTAAGACATTATCACTCATCTTAAACATGAGCAGCTTTCTGAGAAAGAGAACCTGCTTTGTTAGATTTGGTGTCACTGTGTCATTTCCAATTCATAGCTGCAGAGTTTTATTCGCAAGCACAGGAGTGATGCACTCATTTTTTTAAATGTAGTTCTTGAACAAGAGCATCCAATCCTTTCTGATTCTTTTACTTTGTTCTTAAATTGCAAAGAGCAGAAACATCTCTGTATGTCCCATTTGAGGAGTCAGCTATGTCATGGCCAGAGCTGTATTTTTACCAGCTGCTCGGCACCAGTGAATGGGTTCTTGAGGTGTATGAATTTGGTGTACATTATTTCTGTTTGGCCAGTCCAAAGTATGCCAGTTCAGACACTGAGACCTAGGATCAGGGATATTTAACTACCTCTCTAGTCTGCAATTAATATGAATCACATGAGACCTTACACCCTCCAAGTTTTTTAAAATTTGTGGGGTTATCCAATACTGGCTGAGTACTACTTAAGAGTTGCTGCCCTGTTTTTCAACCGCAATTGGATAAAGCTTACTTATCAGACGTATAGAAGGTGTTGCAGTGGAATTGGTAATTGCCATCATTATGATTCAGCCTGCAGGGTTATATTGCCATCAAAAAAACATAATTTCTTCAAACAGTAAGTTCAAGTCCATTTGAAATTTTGAGCTTATAATTTTCAAAGGCCTTTCCCAAAGTGCTTATATCTCATTTCTCATAAGCTTGGGTTACGATGAGGAAAAGCAGTACACAATCTTTTTACTCATCTAAAACCAAGGAAAATCTGCTGAAACTGTACCCTTCTTTGGGCTGAATTTATATTCCTCATTATGTAACAGCAACTACACAAACTCTATCCAGCACTCGCCTGTTTGTGGAAAGAAAGAAAACGGAGCTGCCATGCTTCATTGGTTAGCTTGGAGCTACAGCTACACCTGTGTGACTTTACGTAATTGTGAGTACAGAAAAGATTTCAGTGTTTTAAGGGAGGGGTGTGCTGTGGGACATTTCAAGGCTTGGGTTCAGATATTCCCATCATGCTTTTTGGTACACAGTTGAGGTATTCCCACAGTGAACAGAGGACAATTGATAGTCCTATCAAAGCATTCAAAATGCAAAGGGGTCCCAGAGCAATGCAGTCTCTTCTAGGTGTCATTTTCTGAACGCTTTGCATTTCTATCAGAGAGATTATTTTAAGGGTAAAGTACGCAAAAGGTGTCCTTTGCAACTGTGATTTTTATCATTCCAAAGTATTTCAGAACATTCCTTCCAGTATTCTGGAAACTGCTACTGAAGACTTAGCATCTCAGTCCCTTTCTTAGGTAGTCATCATATTTTTGTCTATTTTTCCCACTCTACTTTTGAACCCCTTAGCCAAGAAGTGTTAAACAGAGGCTTCCATAAAATTCATGCAGTGTGGCAATTTGCACCTTCTTCCTTTGTACTTGTATCTGTCTAGCAACAAGTATTAATGTCGGTCCACATTGCTTTGTATCCACTCAGTTAATTGATTCCAATTACCTTTTGGAATGTAAAATGATCGCCCTTTTAAAGTATAAATATATTTAACATAGGAAGCAAGAATACATCCAGGAAGCTATCCAGTGGAACCGTAATCAATTCTCAGTAGTAATATTGAATGGGTAACTAGCAATACTAGTAGTAATACTGAATGGTAACTAGCAATAAGATAAAAAACCCAAAGAAGTCTTGATGTGTTCTGAAGCAATACAGGATATATGCAATGCACTAACTGAAATCACTATGGTCTCAGTAAGTATAATTCAGTCTGATTTGTTTTTGCTTTGCAGAAGATGATTAATATTTTTGACTGAACATAAGCATTTCCCTATACATCCTGACATAATTAAAGACTGTCCTAAGTGTTCACAGTGAAACTGCCAACCCATCACTTCAGAGGTTTAGGATTGAGTTGCAACCTTAGTGGGTTCTTTTGAGTTATTGAATAGCCTGTGTGTGAAATAAAGTCTTGGAAATACAGTTCTTAACTTGCAGACCTGGCAAGGTGTACCAGACTAGAAAAAGAAAACTAGAGCTGAGGATCTTAGAATCCTAGAATTGTTTAGGTTGGAAAAGACCTTTAAGATCATAAAGTCCAACCGTTCCCCTGACACTGCCAAGTCCACCACTAAACCATGTCCCTAAGCACCACATCTACACATCTTTTAAATGCCTCCAGGGATGGGGACTCAACCACTTCCCTGGACAGCCTGTTTCAGTGCTTGACAACAATTTTGCTGAAGAATTTTTTCTCTAATATCCAATCTAAGCCTCCCCTGCTGCAACTTGAGGCCATTTCCTCTTGTCCTATCACTAACTACTTGGGAGAAGAGACCAACACCCACCTCACTACAACCTCCTTTCAGATAGTTGTAGAGAGCAATAAGGTCTCGCCTCAGCCTCCTCTTCTCCAGACTAAACAACCCCCATTCCCTCAGCTGCTCCTCGTAAGACTTGTGCTCTAGACCCTTCACCAGCTTCGTTGCCCTTCTCTGGATGTGCTCCAGCACCCCAATGTCCTTCTTGTAGTGAGGGCCCCAAAGCTGAACACGGTGTTCAATGTGCAGCCTCACCAATGCTGAGTACAGGGGGACAATCACTTCCCTGCTCCTGCTGGCCACACTATTCCTGATACAAGCCAGGATGCTGCTGGCCTTCTTGGCCACCTGGGCACACTGCCGGCTCATGTTCAGCTCGCTGTCAGCCAGCACCCCCAGGTTCTTTTCAGCCAGCTTTCCAGCCACTCTTCCCCAAGCCTGTAGCATTGCCTGGGGTTGTTGTGACCCAAGTGCAGGACCCAGCACTTGGCCTTGTTGAACCTCATACAGTTGGCCTTGGCCCATCGATCCAGCCTGTCCAGGTCCCTCTGAAAAGCCTTTCTACCCTCAAGCAGATTAACACTCCTGCCCATACCTTCTTTCATCTCCTGCATATCTTGTTTTATACCATTCATTTGCGTCCTTTTTCTTGAGATTGGCAGGTCATTTTGGTCCCTGACTTACCTCCGAACCGTCTCAGGACTGTTGTGGCTTGCCCTGACAGCAAATGGCCTTTCAACAGTGTTCCACAAGACTGAGTGATCCAGATCAGTTACACTACCCTTACCATCCTTGATACCACCATGCTCTTCCCACTAGGCCAGAATCTTGCTGAGTGTTGGCTCTCTACTTGGAAGTTTTCTGTAAAATCTATGTAGTGAAACCTTTTCTGCTTCATCCAACTAGGCAGATCATTATGATTTAAAGATCTGTACCACTCAGGTCAGGCATTTTTTTTTTTTTCCCTACAAAATGGAGTTTTCACGTGATAAAACTTCTGTTGCACCCAATAATTCACTCCTGGACATTTCTCAAGCTCTGTTTCTCTTTACTTGAAAACCACAACTGTTTCAGGCAGGAACTTATGCTGCTGAAAGCTTCAGTAATTAAAAAGAAGAATTATGTACGCAAATACTTGCAAAATAGCCCTATCCAGTGTTTTGCAAGTACAATATACCTTTGTTTCCTATTCGAGCTGAGCAAATGTGTGTTGATGTTTGAATTTCTGGTTTTAAAACACTCTCTTAGGAGGGTGAGGTCACTCATGAGTAGAGTAACATTTCTATATTGAGAAAGAAAAGGGACTAAACTGCAGGAATAAGTTCTGTAATTCCCAGTTCCTGACAGTTCACAGAGAGAAGAGAGCAGATTATAAGTTTCTCTCATCTATACTTTGTTGTGCCAGACTCATCCTTCAGCCAAAGAGCTCCAGAACACACTGTGTTTCTGCTGGGGTGGTTTGTGTGCTCCATAGTATTCCCCAGGCAAAGAGTAAAGGCAGAGGGATTGTATTTGAACCAGATGTTCAACTGCAGTAACAATTAGGTAATTTTCTTCCTCCTCAGAGCAGACAGACTCGGCTAGTATCTGGTCTATGATGTTTGTCCATGATGTTACACAAGCCTATTAAAATAATTACTTTTTACCCCAGTTTCTTCCAAGTGGAGTCACTAACATCCACAAGAGAAACAGGGAAGTATTTTTAGTTTTCATTTGTGCTAGGAATTTCTCTATGGCCTAGATATAGACAGAGATACCTTAGAGAGGGAGGAAGGACAGATTAAAGAGAAATCCTTATGACTCCTTGTGTTACAAGGCAGATTTGAAAACAGCATGTAAATTTAATATCTGCAGAATAAGATTTGTGCATGGCCCATTCCAGTTAATTCCCTCAGATCAAATGCTCTGAAATATTTGCAATAACTTTTTATGCTTTAGCAGTGTATGTTTCATTTGGCCTGCATTTTTACTCAAGAATAACCTCTACAATGAAAATAAACTTTGCTGCATCCCTTTCTTACTTTCTGATTCTCACCTGTGTGTCTCTTGCAATCATTATGCCATAATCCTCGGGGGAAAAAAAATGCTTTTGACTTACCTATTCAGTGTTAAATATAAAAACTCTCTATGCTACAGCTTCAGCCAAGTATTGGCCACCCACCTGATGAAGCACCTTTTAATCCTTACGTGCTGCAAAGGAAGAGAGGTCTTACAGGAGCAGAAAGAGGTAGGCCGAGTAATTTATGTCATAATACAATTTCCTTCTTTATGCCAGAGATCTCTCCTCATCACATAATTCTTTTTTTCTTGCATATATTTCACACCAAGTTGTGTATTTGTATAGCCACTATCATAGCTCAAGCCTGGTAGCTGAAATTGCCAGATGTCACCATCTATAATAAAAGTAATTTAGCAGAAATCCCCTTTTCCCTGTTGAAGTGAAAGACTGTTACTTCCTTGATTCTAAAAGCTGCATCCTTGCACTTCATTAGAAGAATCATGCCCTGTTGCATCCACAGTGCCAAGTTGGAGCTCAGGCATTCTGTAAAATGCAATTAAAAATGGATGCCTAAAAATGAACTACCTAGAAGGCAGCATTCTGACTGAAGAATTGTCTGAGGTAGCTAATGGGAAGTACTAAGGAGACAGGGCAGCCTTTAACGCTCCTTCTGTCAAGGAACCTCCTGGTTTCACATTACACAGATGCTCAATAGTTAGAGCATGTCACCGGGTATAGGTCACTCTTTTTTGGGGTGTTCTAAAGTGCCTGTAGCTGGACTGCATGTGGTTTCTTTATAATGCCCTCGTAAGTCAAACATACTGATGATCCTGAACATAGAAAGGGTGAATATAGTAGCTGTGGGAGCAAAAATGTCTCGCATAATGTCTAATTTTTTCATTGATTGATCTGCAGGTGATCAGAGAGAGGCCTTACCCATGGATACTGAGGTCTATGAAAGTCCGTATGCTGATCCAGATGAAATGAAACCAAAAAATGTCACTCTTGACAGGAAATTGTTAACCTTGGAGGAAGGGGAACTTGGGTCTGGCAACTTTGGTACTGTAAAGAAAGGTTTCTATAAGATGAAAAAGTAAGTATTTCCTTCTATTTTAATGGAGTCTAATATGTAAGAGCTGTAGCCTTTATTTTGTGGAGCAGCAGTAATCTTTGCATGTCATTTGGGGTGACAGACTGTACCTAAGTAACTTGGGCTAACATTCTCTGGTTTCTTGCTTTGTACATACACTCATTTTCTTTTCCTTTGTTGGCAGATACCTCTCTGCCCGCAGCATAGTCACCTCCCAGCCATTATTTTTGTGTGTAAAGTGGGAAATTGCCCCTCATGACTATTTTGTCTCCTTTCAGGGATAGTAGTGTGGGAAGTCCACTGCCTTCCTCCATAGTTTGTATGGGCAGTCATGCTACTCAGTATTTCCAATCTGCACAACCTCTCTTTGAGAAATAGAGTGCCATGGACAGCTTACCTAGAGCAAAGAGATTTTCATGTAAAATAAGTGTGATAAATACCTGTTTCATGAAGCTGGAATGTTGACGTGTTGCCACCTCTTTTATCATGCAATTGCAGTACGAAGAGACCCGGTTTATACTGGCAGAAGTGGGTGCACCTGACTGTTCAAGCATTTTCATAGTAAAATGTTGTCAGTATGTTGTTCAAGTGCATGGGCTGATTATGTATATATACTTTCACCATTTGAAGCTGGAAGCATTTCTTTAACCAAGTTTTTCAGAGGCAGGAAGGATTTTTCTTTTTCCAGTACAGTGTGAGGGGATTTGAAGGGCTCTAGTCCCAGCTTGTGTATTTGCTAATCTTGTTTCACACTTGAGCTCTGTTGATCTCATCAGTCACTCTTTCACTTAGTAGTATGAGCTGAAGGTTGCAGTAGTAGGCTTAGTTTCGCAGGATTTCAGAGCACTGCCTTGGGGCCTTGCAATGCTGCATGTTCTAGTCTCACCCCCCAAAAACCTCAGTGCTTAGAAGGGTCTTTATAACTTTTATGGCCAGAAAAGCTTTATGTCATTCTTGCCAGCATGGGCAGGAAAATTTTGTCCAGTACATTTGTTTTCAGGCTTGTTAAGACGTTTTTATGACTTTAATTTTCTCAGGTTCTTCCCATTCTCTCTTTTGCTTAGCTGTCTTCTGAGCATTTGATAGAGAGATGTTCCTGTTACAGTCAGGTTTCTTCCCCTCTGAATGTCAGTTCTGTCTTTTGTCACACTTTGTACTATGTGGACAGAAACACAGGAGAAGATTGTGTACATTTGCACACAGATTTTTCAGCAACTAATCCCAGAATTGGATTCTTTTTTCTAGGGGTGCCAAGCCAGTGGCTGTGAAAATTCTTAAGAATGAGAGTAATGATCCAGCTGTAAAGGATGAATTACTGAGAGAAGCAAATGTAATGCAGCAATTGGATAACCCATATATTGTCCGAATGATAGGCATATGTGAAGCTGAGGCCTGGATGTTAGTAATGGAAATGGCAGAGCTTGGGCCACTGAACAAATTTTTGCAAAAAAATAGGTATGTAAGCTTTGGTTACATTTCATAGGATTTATCCAAAGGGGAAAAAAGATACAGCTCCCTTTTTTTTTTTTTTTTCCTTTTAAGGGCAATTTTAAATTGACATGACATTAATGTAATAATTAATCACTGTAGTTACTCTTCACTGAGACATGACTGTCTTGTACATGTCTCCTAACTGTCAAATATTTCTGGTAAAATAGTGCATTTTGAATAAATGAAAGAATTTTCACATGTCTGTCAATTGTTCATATATTGATATGAATACACATCATCTTGCTCAGGGCATTCTTATGCTGCCCGTCCTAATTAAAGCTTAGCTAAACATAAGTGGATCGGGTTCCTAGTATGACGTGGGGAAGTTCATAGTAAAGATTTATATTTGAACTCCATGAAAAGTCATGAAATGAACTCCTGACCTCTTAAAAATTCAATTATGATTTTCAGACATGTCACGGACAAGAATATAACAGAGCTGGTACATCAGGTTTCCATGGGGATGAAATACTTGGAGGAGAATAACTTTGTTCATAGGGATCTGGCTGCAAGGAACGTGCTATTAGTCACCCAACATTATGCCAAAATTAGTGACTTTGGACTTTCTAAAGCTCTTAGTGCTGATGAAAATTATTATAAGGTAAGGTTTGCACAAGACATGAAAGCTGTATAGTAGCATAGCTTAATAAGGTTTTTTTCAGTTGAAGTGCAGGGTTTTTTAAAAGTCGGAAATTAGAAATAATATGCACCATCCGTTATTTTATAACATCATAGTAGGTTACTGATTTTCAAAATGCATGATCAACTTTAAGAGATGTGTAGGGAGGAAAAAGCTAGTCCCTTCTTTTATTTGCCTACTTCTTTCATTTACTTTTGGTAAACTTGTCGTTAGAAGGTTGGAATTCATGGTGGAAATGAGCTACCTCCTTATATGAAAAGGGGAAAATGTCTTCACTGCAGAATGAACCTTTGAGCGCTTATGGTTTTCACCATGTCCCAGGAAAATTTAGGCTAACACATTGTATTATTGTTTACCAGAACTGAATTTGGGGTGTTTTTTGAAAGAATACCATTGGTAAATAACCATTTGATCTAAGTAGAATTTGTTTAGCTTGGTTTTAAATTCACTGGATCTTTGTACATCTAAAGGGACTGAAATAACTGCCACATTTAATAAGGTAAAAACATCCATGGGAGACGAAGGCTCTAATCGTGTCTACATCTTCTTTTCTGATATATTGTTCTTGCAGTTCAAATTATTTCTTCCTTATGCCTGTTCCCTTTCACCAGCTGTTTAAAACTAATAAGCCAGACCATGAAATGCTGCAGAGGAGGAGCAAGCACATGCTCCCTTCTGATGACCTTCCTATGGGAATAGTAACTACTGCCAGAAAAGGCAGTAACATCTTAAATAATTGCTGCTAGCCTAGCCAGAGCTGCTTGTCAGAGGTTTGAGAATTGGTATCAAAGGCCCATTCCCTTTACAACTCCACAAAATGCAGTGTGGTTCTTTGACTAGATCTAGCACTGTGCTGGGACAGCTTGACACTTGCATGGTCCTAACACAGTGTTACGGCAGAATTTAATCAAACTGCAGTTTGCCACAAGGCGGTCGCCATGCTTTGAAATGGAGCATCAACTTCAAGTAATAATGAGAGTCAGTGTAGCTGGGTGTGTATCTCTTACCCTCTGTGGGGAGCCTAGATTAAAAAAATATTGTTTTGGAAGGAGCAACTTTAAATTAAATGCCATTAAAAACATGACTTCAAGTCATTTAGCTAAGCTTTGCTTTACCATAAATTTCACTTCAGTGCATTATTTTGAAAGTGGAAGATTAGGAACAATTTTGTAACACTTTTGAAGAAGCTGCTACCCATTCTCTTTAATGCCAACTGCATCAGAAATGTTATGGTATTTAGTACAAATGTGTGCAGATCTAAGTTAAGTTGGCTTATATGAATTCTGATGTTGTTTACTACTTACCACTGTTTCTAGCCTGCTTTTTTTCCTTTTTGTTATGACTTACTTTAGGCACAAAGTCATGGAAAATGGCCAGTCAAGTGGTATGCTCCAGAATGCATGAATTTCTACACTTTTTCTAGTAAAAGTGATGTCTGGAGCTTTGGGGTTTTAATGTGGGAAGCTTTCTCTTACGGGCAAAAACCGTATAAGGTGAGTAGTTCTATGTAGCAATATTTTTTTCTGTAAAAATTGAGAGCAAATTTGAACCAATGCCTTTTCCTACCCAAAAAGGGTTATTTCAGGCCAAAGCAGGCCTTAACACCCCATCTGTTGCAACAAATGAGTCAAAGGATAGCCCAAAAATCATAGAATCATAGAATCATCTAGGTTGGAAAAGAC